CTGTTTTCAAATGTAAGGTTTTGAATTTGTTTGACATTTCTCAGTAATAACACCCTCAGACACCCAATATCAACTATCAGGGGATGAAGCTTTTCCTCCCAAATCAGATATGCTTTGTTTTTTTACAAAGGTATGCATTTCCTGCATAATATATGTTTCTCACAATTGTTTTTTGTAAGCTGCACACAGGTGATACTGAGTCTTCTCGATTAATAGATTATAAACTACACCATGCTTAAATAGACTCCTAAGTTATTATTTCATATGAGACATATGTAAGAAAGGGGAGGGAAGAGTCAATTATATTGAGTAATTAATTTTATATTGGAACATTTATTTCTCAAACCTGTTTTATGGAAGAGGAAAATATTTCTGATAAACTAATCTTTTATCAAACGGTAAATAGTGAATTAATATAACATTTAAAATCATTGAGAAGGGGTGATATCCACAGGGACTAGCTCACCTTTAAATTACAATAACATTTCTCTGCTTTGGACTGATGAGTATATGATTCTTGCATGTTAAATGACTAACACAAACCTTACATTTATAATGTGCATGTGTCAGGAAGGCTCCCAAATAATTCTGAGGGGCCTATCCTATTTTTGTAATTAAATGATAATATGCTAATCCATTACTTTGAGTTGTCTGCACTCAGGAAAACATCCCTATCAAGTGTTAACCCAATAACTAGGACAGCTCTAAAGGCCAAGGGTCAGAGAGAGAGGGTCACACTCCCCGGCTGCAGAGGGCACCCCCAGCAACGGGCAAGGAGGCACGAGGTCGTTTCGAGATGAGAGGATTCTAATCTTCAACTATCTGAGGAGATGGGATGCTTCTTCACCATTCTGCTCAGTGGGCTCAGGCAGACAACCCTGTGGGACGAGCGAGGACTTCAGAGGCTTCATACAAGGTTCCTTGTTTCTTGGAGGAGCAGATGTCTTCCTAACCTCTCCCATCACGGGGGAGACCTGGATGCGCCACTTGGAATACGCAGTTTTGTCTGGCACTGCTCTCAAGCAGATAGCAGAAGGAATGCAGGCAGATGAGCCTCCGTTTCGCTGGGGGGATCAACTACAGTGCTCACTAATGAGCCACACAAAAGCAGAGCAATTGGGGGGTTTAAATATGGCGCTCTGAGGAAGAGTTTGAGCCAATCAGCACCTCAGTGCTAATCTACAGTATCAGGATGCCTTTACACACACCAGACACTCTTTGTCATAAAGAGAGGAGGAGAACGAGTCAGAAAGACTGAAGGACACGTTCTTCCAGCTCTCGTACAAAGATGAACTTTGCATTGATTTTATATCTTGGATGTTTACAGATGTACAATTAATGACTGTCTTTATATTTCCAATGACCAGACATGTGTTGAATAGTGGTGATTAATATATTTTTGCCGGATCAGATTACCCTTTCGCACTAAACTAAATTAATTCAGATTATAAAGTATTGAATCATAAAATATTTCTACTAATATCACAGATAATGTTAATATCCTTAATCGTCCAGCAATCAGGCTTAACAACACTACTCTTTAATGTATTATCCATGCACAGAAAGACCTACAATGATGTTTCAAGTACTGGATTAATTTCAGTTTTGGCCCAAAACAAATATTTATAATATTTCATATAACAATTATGTAGCATATTTGATCCTCAAATTAGAGATATATAATTTAAAGAAATTGATATTCTATATTCAACATTAGATAAACACAGAAGAATCCTTTCCAAGTACCATAAGTAGATGCTCAGGTAAGTATGGCTAATAGGAATAATTGATAGACTTAATTTGGTACAGATCAGTGGTAGCATTTACAAATGTAATAATTCAAGTTTTAAGAATGTTTAATCCTTCCTTTCCAGGTTTTTACAAAAGTCTTTGAATATTTGCCTAACTTTTCCTTTTCAGATTTTGAACAATGTACTTGACTAAAATGAATGTATTGATTTCACTAAGTGCCTTACTCTTGACTAAAGCGTATTTAAGTAAAAGTAAAAGTAATCCTAAAATTGAGGACACTGCACTTTTGCAGATTACAGATTGATCAAATCACCAGTGTGAATTCTATACTCCAACTGTGAATGTTTAGCTGGATCTCTTACGATCCTGAGTTTTAAAATGCTTTTGACTAGTGATTGCCTTGAAGTAAATCTTTAAAGCGGCAAGCTGGTTTTGATTTTATAGTTTGATGAATGAAATTAACTAATGGTAAATGATAAAAGATATTAGTTTAAAACAAATATTTAGCCATTGTGCACCTGTGTTTTATGTGTGTTCATTATTATGCTTTTGACAAAAGATGATCAAACACTGATGAGAGATGATTTTTCCTATTATGATTGTCTGTATCAATCATTGTGATTGAATGTTTCAATCTTATTCTACTTTGTGATGTAATTAATGTAAGGTGAGACCACACTCGAATCTGGAGACGCCTATTGAGTTAATTATTGACCAAATTATTATTAGACTAATGTTTTAGGTTATCATAAATGATAAAAAGAGTGGACTGTTAGGGAAATAATTGTCCTAGACTCCTAGATATGACGTACAGGACCAACCCTGACGTCTGTTTACCTCCTTTAAGGACACAGGCTGCTTCAGCCAATAATGTTATTGTTCCCATTCTGTGACCGGTCAATACTGGGTCACAGATGGTCTGTATTGTGGGTACACTGGGACACTTCCTTCTCTGTTGTCTGAGGACTCCAGGGCATGACATATCCAAGGCCATAAGTGGCGGAAGCTGGTAACTTAGTGTGCCCAAACTATCTAAAGCTATCTTATCAAAACATGTTGATGACTCTCTGTGGAACCAGTTAAATGGGCTGGCAAGAGAGAGGCTCTCCAGAATTGACGTGGCAACTCTACCGTGAAGTCAGAACCTCTGGCTCTTGGACTTGTGATGTGAATCCTCCGGCCGTAACTCCAAATAAATCACAGTGGTTTGACATCAAAGCTCCGACTCTTCCCGTGTCTCCTTCCTGAGTCGGTGACTCCACTGCACATGCTACACAGAAGTTTCCTCTACAACCTGCTGAACAAAGTGGAAAGTGTTTTTCATGCACTCCAGTTGCAGGGCACAAATGAGTTTGAACAGGACACAGAAGGCCTGAGGCAGGTTAGCCGGTCCATCCATCACCACATTCCCCTCCAAGACGATTGCCACACTGGATGGGTTGAGCTGAGGATTTTCTCCGACACAGAGGATTCCCAGTGGAGTTTGACTGTACACCTCCTTATCAGCCGCATCCTAACAGAGAAATAAAGAGATTGACATATAATTCTACATCGTCCACCAAAAAGTAGCTTCCACTGTTTATAATGAAAAGCATCATACATATTTAAAAAACATATCATATTTCATTTATATTGTTGGTGAATTAGTTAAAGACAATATATTAGGGGTGTAACGGTATCCGTATTCGTCCCGTACCGTCACGGTTCGGACGTCACGGTTCGGCACACGCAGTCACACGACGAATACACCTTTTTTTTATGAGTGGGAAAAAAGTGTCATTCAGGGCAGTATCCTATCCACTACACTATATATAATCCAGGGGGCAGTATTGCGCCTAAAAGCTGTTTGCCAGCCGCCCTTAAACAACAAATGAAGAACAAGAAGAAACACAACAACAAAACGAACAAAATACAAGAAGAAGAAAAGTTAGTATGGCGATTTCAGATAACACACAGGAGCTAGAACCCACCTGCTTCTTTTAAATCAGCTGTGTGGGAACATTTCGGGTTCCCTGTGCACTACAATAACGATGGAGTGCGAGTGGAGGATCGGATGAGGACGGTGTGTCGGCGTTGTTAGACAGCGTTGCGGTATGCTAATGGTAACACACGCCAAACCGGAGCCGGCAAAAGTCAACAGCTGATCCCCGCTGTTTTTAAGAAGCCAAGAGACATGAGAGCCGAGAGACCAAAATAAATAACGGAAGCTTTTGGCATATGTTTTTCAACGACTTTGCGCTCTTGAAACACTTTCTTATTATTTATGATGTCATATTTTCAAGATATTCTTTTTAGTTCTACAGCTTGATGAAACCTTTTTATTTGACATCAGCCATTATAGATAATATGGCCATCTGAGTGTGTGTGGTGCTGTTTGTGGTTTGTTTTTAAACTGTTTAATACAGTTCATTATTCAAAAAGAGTTCTTTATTTTTAAACTGAAACTTGCACTACTGTTCAATCATAAATAACAACAAACCTGGAATTATGCATTTGGGACTTTTTTTTGCTTTTTCTTGTACCGAACCGTACCGAACCGTGACCTCCAAACCGAGGTACGAACCGAACCGTGACTTCTGTGAACCGTTACACCCCTACAATATATATAAGGAATAGTGCAAGTTAAATTTAGTTCCGTATTTTTTTAAACTCTGAATAATGTCCCGGGTCAATTTCACCCAAAAATTACCAAAGGGTGCAAAATGTGAACATAACACAAGGGTTAAAGTCACTTACGGTGCAGGTCTTGAAGAAGGCAGAAGGCTCATCCCCCAAGATGATTGGCAGTCCCCGAACACAAAGGCATCTGATGTCTGTTGGCTCAGTGGTCTAGAATATAGTGGAGATAACAAAGAATGGTCATATATTCATCAAATACATTCTACAAACTCTACACAATTACTTTATTGCAAATATACTTGAAAGTAAAGGAGAGGACAAAAGGAGATGACATGATGGGAGAATAGAAAAGGGAGAGAACATAATTTCTTCTTGACCAAAGAATATAATAGGAAACAAAACAAGAGAGCAAAGCAAACAAGGGAAAAGAGGAAACAATGACACATGAAGAGATGCAATTAAATTGACAGGACAAGAGCAGCAAATGAGAGAAAAGAAGAGATGAGAAGGAAGTCAAAGGGACCGAAGAGGAACAAGGAGAGAGGAAAGAGATTGGGTAGACAGATGTTATCTTAAGTAAACCCACCTTTGTCTGACTTAAAAGCTCAGACAGAAATTGGCCAGTGGCACCCTTCTTCTTCCTAAAGAGGTCCATCAGGCTCGGAGAGAAACGGTCAAGTGCATCGAAGAAGTTGTCCTTGAGATTTTTCCCCACCACTCTGTTGAACTCGCAATAAACCTGAAACACAAAAGAGAACAAACCATGTAAAACTGTCAAATAAAATCATCCTTGGTGAAACAAATAAGTGCATTTTTTTTATTTAGACAGCTTTTGCTTGCTTCACCATCTGATTTTTCAAGATGCCTCTGTGCACTTCTCACAGTAATATCTTAATAAAATCAGATATTTAAGTAGGTATGAGGATATAACTACATTTTATGAACATTACATTTAGAACACAAAAGGACAAACAAACCTGGGGAGGTTTCAGCCTGGAACCTCCACCCCGCTGCGGGACCCGTGGTGGGACCCCCGAGTCAGACGATGCGTCTTGGTCACGCTTCATATCGGCCCGGCCCGGGAAGAGACACGCAGCACACCCTCGCGGCCATCAGAGTCGAACCCGCAGTTCGGAGGAACCGACCGCCAGGACACCGGCACTAGGCCGGTGGAGGCCCTCCGATGGTGGGTCGCGTTTGCCATTCTATCAGTGAGAAGAGAGGACAAAAATGCAACAAGAATTGTCAAAATCGGTTAATATATGGATGAGTGGTGGGGGTAACGGCTGGACACAGGCCGTGGGGGGACACCCGAGACCGGGCTATGTCCCCGTTAGAAGGAACCAGGTGAAATAGCCAAAAAAAGACAAATTAATAAAACCGGGGGAAATAGGGGGAAAAGTGACAAAAAGTGTCCGCAAATAGGCACTCGTGAGGCGGGCAGAGTCCCCTGTTAACTCCCGTTACATTCCTCCATGGTTTGAGCGAAAAATGGCTAAGTCAACTATTACGAGAACCAGGATGGGGGGTTCAAAAGGCCTGCCCAAGGCCGACCCAAAGTGCATGGTGAGCGGACTCATCACCTCCGTGATAGTGGAGGTGTCCTGAGAGTGGAACCTGCAGGCAGACCCCTCTCAGGCTGACAGGCAGGTAGGCCATCCAGCTATTTTAGCCGGGCCGGCTAAAATGATTGGTCGTGCTTTTTACAGTGCTACGGCTTCCACAGATGAACATTTTGTATGTATTTATTGTCAAAGCATTTCATATATGCATTGCTATCAGGATGTTAAGAGCATTCCATGGAATATAACGATAAGTGTTTCTGAAATAAATTACATACCCCACCTTTAAGGGACGTTAATCAACAACATCTGATAACGTAATGTGGTCGCTAATGTTAGCTAAATGGCGTCTCACCTGATGTAGTAGCACAAAGCAGCCGTCCAAGCGCCACCCTCCTCTCCCTATGATGGAAGCCTGAGACAGCCTGTGGCAGGGTTCGAGCGTCCGGCGTTAATGTGCGGTGGTGTCCGACTCACACGACTAAAAGAAAGGTGACAAAAACAGCAACTGGGTGAAAAAAAAATCTACGTCTTTCAGTGAACACGAACAAGTGAAAAAAGTACAGCACTATCTGTTTAAAACTATCTGCACCTCGTAGCCTACTATCGCTCAGTAAAAGTTAACAAAAGCGAGGGAAACACACATTGCCTGACTGCAGTAGCGTAGAAGTGCTGCAGTTAAGTGAGGTAAATCAAATGAAAACTTAATGCGGTCGCTATTAAGATCTAGATCCCTCCGTGGGCTCCATGATCACACTGCGGGGATCCCCCCCCCCTAATGACCACCTAGCAGCACATTCTACCGCTTATTACACGGCTACATACTAAAATAACAAACAAATTATTCATAATATCGATTTTTAAATGATTTAATTGACTTAAAAATGATCGTAATGCTTCCGCCAAAATAAAAAGTCCGTTCCACGGAACGAATGGAACTTTAATTCAGAAAATAAACGGCAGCATTATTCGAATTTATCTGTAACTGTCAAAGTCTGTTAACATTTTATTTTCCTCTAACAAGTACTTAAACAATGCGAGAGAAGCCCACACCGTGTTCCCGCCAGTTGATACTTCCTGTGGCTGTGTTACACCCAAAAGTACGAGAATTCAACCAAGCCCTGTTAGCTAAATCACTCACCAGATTCAGTAGATAAGGCAGCCGTGCAGCGTCCTTCCTTTGGAAGCGTAGACAGCGCGGTGAAAGGGTGCAAGTCCGTCGTTCAAAGTGGGGTTGCGTCCGACTGAGAAATTGCGAGCTGGAAACGTGGCTGCGGCACATTAAAAGATCCTTCTCTTTCCCATAATGCATTGCGAACATGACTAAAACTTAATAATGTGAAGTTACTTAACTTAAAATTATTGACACATTGCTTAACTAACACATGTAAGTATTATATGCTTACATTTGGTAGTCAGCAAGTAGAATAAGCTTACATTTGATAGTAATGCAATGAAACTTAAATAATGTCAGTAATTTGTAATTCATTATTTAATTAGATATGAACTCCGGGCTAACAGTGTACAGGCGATGACGTCACGTTTGCGCGTCCCCGCGAACAGGGCTTCAATCTACGGCAAGGCTTCAATCTACGGCACAACACCGGCGCCGTTGCGGTGTGAACAGGAAAAAACGGCGCTTTTCAGGCTCCAGCTCCGCTGGTGTGAAAGGGGCATTAAAGTGCTGCTTTAACTGCGCGCCTTCCTGCTGCCTTGCTTGGGCCGACACTCGAAGTGTGGAAGTCACTGAACTCTGGGGCTAACTCCCTCTATCACTTGTCCTTACTTTGGCCAACTTGATTTAAATTAGTTTGTTTATTTTTATTTTGTTTAACTGAACCTTTTCTCTTTTGATTTGTTTTATTCTTAAATGTTTACACAAGTTATCTGCTTATGAGAACATATTTGATATTGTGTTTGTTTATTACTTTGATTTACTTATTTAGCCCCCATTAACTGCGTTTCCCTCTGGTTTCCCTACTTAGTTACTGAGAGCTGAATGTGGTGGTGCTGGTGTCAAAGATGGTGGTTTTCCTCTCTTCTTTTGTGTGTGATGTGCTCCCCCGGGATTTGATTTCCTGCACGTATGACTGGGGGGATTTAAGTTTGGTTTGTTTGGGGATCCTTCCACTCATTCGTCGACCCTATCCCCCCACTGGTAAGCCTCAGCCCCTAATTCATTTTTCCCTTTTTTTTGCTACAGCCCTGTGCGACTGTTTTTAACTGCATTTTAACTATTAACTTGTGCTAAATAAAATTGTATATTTTTGATAACTTGAAACCGCATCTCTTGCTCCATTAGTATTCGAACCTATGTGTCCTCTCTATAACTGAAAGAAGTGTTAATATTTCCTTGGGTGAAACTCCCAAGGTGGCGTTGTCGGAATTGTGAATGGTGTAATCAAACCAACTTTAACAAATACATTCACCTATCCTCCCCTCTGCGGCTACTGTCACAAACTGGCGTTGTCGGCAGGATTTACTTTTTGAGAGCAGAGACGTGTGTTTCAATTATTTTCATTATTATTAGTGTTGCATTGTGGCCATTGCTAGCTAGTTTACCCTGTATTTATTGTGTTCAGAAGCAAAACAGCAGTTGGTTTCTTGTGGACCTTTGGTAAGTCAGGGTTTGTTCTTGTGTATTGCCTGTCTATTTTGGTGCCCTGTCCCCACTGAATTAGCAACGGTGTAGCTATGGAGGGAGAGTTACAAGAGTTGAGGGATTTAGTTGCCCAGTTGAAAGCAGACAATGAGAGGCTGTTGCAGGAACGGGCTGTGGAGGTGCCTGGTCCTCCTAGTGCTGCACCTTTAACTGCTACTGTTAGCTCTTCTAATCCTTCCAATGCTAGTGCCCATTAATTGTACTGTCATTTGACATTACTCTCTCGTTCAGTCACTCACACCTACGCTGTCATTGGAGGCAGTCGCAATTTCTACAGGCTCGCACTTACCTGTTAGCAGCATCTGTTAGCAGCATCTGTTAGCAGCATCTGTTAGCAGCATCTGTTAGCAGCATCTGTTAGCAGCATCTGTTAGCAGCATCTGTTAGCAGCATCTGTTAGCAGCATCTGTTAGCAGCATCTGTTAGCAGCATCTAGCTCTCCTGCTTACACACTTTTAGCCATCCCTGCTTATACAAGTAGTAGTTTTAGTTGTCTGCGAACTGTGGAGGCCTACTCCCACCTGTCGAGTGCGGCTGTACTGAGGTGTTTTTCCTCCGGAGACGTCGCGAAGAGACGGAGCGGCTCCACCTGTTGCTGCATGCGATCTGCGATTTATGGAGAACTGCTCGTCGCGAAGAGACGGAGCTGCTCCACCTGTTTGCTGCCTGCGATCTGCGATCTACGGAGGCCTGCTCCCACCTGTAGAATACGGCTGTACTGGAGAGTTTTTTACCCCGGAGTCGTCGCGGAGAGACGGAGTGGATCCACGCTTCGGGCTTGGCCTGCTTCCACCGGGCGTGTGCTGCTGTGCGGAGGAGGATTTTACCACCGCTGGGGCCTGCTTTCCACCTGTCCTGGTTCTGCTGTTGCAGAGGCCTGCTTTCACCCCGGGGATACCACGGAGGGACCGGAGCGCTTCCACGCTGCTGTTTTCGCCTGTCCTTTGCTGCTGTGCTGATTTTGCTCCAGGAACATCGCGGATACTGTGTGCTGGTCTGGGAAAATGGCCCATATCGGGATTCTGCTGTGCCTGTTAACTGTTTTGGACTATGAGAAGATCTCTAGTCATTCTGAGAAGACTACTGGATTCAGGTCTGTTCTGCCACCCGCAGTGGGCATCCCCTGAAAAGGTTCAGATGTGTTGCTCAAACAATTACCGGTTGATGGTTCTTCAGGACTGCTTCTTAAGCTCAAATCACACTCTGGCAGACTTTTCTGGTGTTTCTAAATTAGATGACAATGTATTTGTGTCGTTTAAGAGGAAAAGATGCCTGGTTTTGTTGTTGTTATTACTGTCAGGAAATGTACAACCTAACCCTGGTCCGCCCAGTAGTAGTAGTCAGATCGCTACTCCTGCTGATTTTAAAGCTAGGTCTGGGTTGGGTTTCATCCACTTGAATGTGCGCAGTCTGTTAGGTAAACTAGATTTTGTCCGTATCTGGGCAAAATCGACTGACGCTGACGTCGTTGTTTTATCAGAAACATGGCTAAACAAATCTATTTTGGCCTCTGACATTGCCTTAAATGGTTTTAATGTGTATCGTACCGACCGGCCTAATAAAGGTGATGGCGTTGCCATTTATGTTAAGAATAAGTTCAGTGTAACCACATTAGTTTCCAAATCGATCAGTAAGCAATTTAAATTTTTAGCCATAAATATAGAAGTGGCAAAGGGTCAACAGGTCAGTGAGTTGTTACAGACCCCCCTCAGCTGTCAAAGACTCCTTGTCTTCACTAGCAAATCTTTTATCACAACTAGACTACAAGGAAATAGTGCTACTTGGAGATTTTAACTGGGACTGGTTAACTGCAGTGTCAGAGGATTTTAAAAACCTTTGTATCTCTTTGAATGTTACTCAGATTGTTGACAGTCCTACTCGCCCAAATATTAAGTCCCCTAATAAATCCTCCCTAATTGATCTCATTTTAACTAATGTTCCCCATAAATATTCATCTGTGGGAGTATTTGCAAATGATCTGAGCGATCACTGTGTTGTAGCCACAATTAGGGACACTAAGGTCCAAAAGGTTAAACCTCGCATTATCATTAAGAGAGACAAAAAACATTTTGTTGAGCAGGGTTTTGTGCATGATCTGTTTGATTTTGATTGGGGTAAAATCGATCTGTGTGCTGATGTGGAAACCGCATGGTCTTATTTTTATCTTGGTTTTATGGAGATCATTGATAGACATGCACCCCTGCGTAAATTTAGAGTAAAGGGACGAGACAATCCTTGGTTTTCTGCTGAGCTGTCTAGTCTCCTTCATGAGAGAAACAAGGCCTGGGCAAAGGCTAGGCAATCAGGCTCAGAGGTAGAGTGGCTGCGTTTTAGGTAGCTAAGGAATAGCTTCACTTCAAATGTCAAAAGTACAAAGTCGAAGTACTATTTGTCAGTTACCACAGAAAACCTAAATAATCCTAGGAAATGTTGGAAAGCAATAAAATCGATATCCACCGGTGAGATCCGTAATGAGATACCTCCGTGCATTACCACAGCATCTGGCACTATATCGGACAGGGCTACTATGCTAAATTGCTTTAATGAGCATTTTGTGTCCTACGGTTCTATGTTTGATTCTGTGACTAACTCTGCTTCTGTGAACACCCCAATCCGTGACTCTGAACAATGTGGTCTGGAAAACCCTTTCAGTTTTACTCCTTTTACTGTCAATGTTATTCATGAAGCCTTATCTAAGCTAGATCCTAAGAAACTGGCTGGCCCGGACAACGTAGAACCTTTCTTTTTAAAGATAGCTGCAGATTTTATTGCTCTTCCTCTTACTACTCTTTTTAACCTCTCCCTCAGCACAAATGCAATTCCAACAGTATGGAAGTCAGCTTATGTCTTGCCTTTGCTAAAAGGAGGGGAGGCAACTATTTTAAATAACTATAGGCCAATCTCTAAATTGTCAGTTCTGGCGAAGATGCTCGAACGCCTAGTGAGTGAACAGGTAAAGGAGTTTTTATGTAAAAATGATATCCTGTCTAAACATCAGTCAGGCTTCAGAAAACAACACAGCACCATCACTGCCACAATGAAAGTGGTGAATGACATTAAGAGTATTTTAGACAATAAGCAGAGTTGTGCAGTGTAGAGGAAACTTCTGTGTAGCTATACAGTGGGAGTCACCGACTCAGGAAGGAGACACGGTAGGAGCAGTAGCTTTGATGTCAAACACTGGTGGTTTATTTGGAGTTACGGCCGGAGGATTCACATCACAAGTCCAAGAGCCAGAGGTTCTGACTTCACGGTAGAGTTGCCACGTCAATTCTCGAGAGCCTCTCTCTTGCCAGCCCATTTAACTGGTTTCGCAGAGAGTCATCAACATGTTTTGATAAGATAGCTTTAGATAGTTTGGGCACACTAAGTTACCAGCTTCCGCCACTTATGGCCTTGCATATGTCATGCCCTGGAGTCCTCAGACAACAGAGAAGGAAGTGTCCCAGTGTACCCACAATACAGACCATCTGTGACCCAGTATTGACCGGTCACAGAATGGGAACAATAACATTATTGGCTGAAACAGCCTGTGTCCTTAAAGGAGGTAAACAGACGTCAAGGTTTGTCCTGTATGTCACATCTTGGCGTCTATGATAATTATTTCCATAACATGCAGCTCTATTTATTGACCTTTCCAAAGCGTTTGATACCGTCGATCATCGCATCTTAAAGCAGAGGCTACTCAGTATCGGCATATCCAGCCATGCAGTGGGTTGGTTTGTGAACTACCTCTCTGAAAGGTCCCAATGTGTTCACTTTGATGGGCTGTCTTCTG